CCTCATGGAAACAGAATAAGCAAACTTCTCTCAAAATTCTGCCTGTTGCAGTGACTTACCAATCAACTAAGTGCAAAATTACCAACCCATCATAGTTTTTGTTACCAACTTTCCTTGCTACAAAAAATACCCCATTTCCTTGCTACAAAAAACATAGATTTTGTGTCTACCATGGAAAGAGGAACCTTTATTGATCACAAAAATCATTCTCTCATACAATGGAAAATGCATTGCAAAAAAAGGTTCATTTTTTAATCTACAGTAATGTTATATTGCATGAAGTAAACAAGTTATCAATGTGTACATAGGAAAAGTTATCATCCACTTTAGCTAAGAACTAACATTGGATAAAGAGAGTGGTGCCTTTTAATGCATATGCTCATGCTGTACTGTAATTGTCCTGTTTAGTGTTCTTCCCAATCACCCTTGCGATTCCAGCCTTCAAACAACTCTGTAAAGAGTAAATAAAACGATGGTTTTAAAAATAGTGTCAACATGTATAAATGTATACTAACGTGCAAACATAAAAACAATCAAGCAGGAGTAGACAATGGATGCTAGCAGAGGAGATAACGCAGAAGATGGAGGAGGAGGGAGAATGCATGAAGAGGATGATGCAGCGCGCACACCAAGCAATGGTTCTGCATACCCAAACATCATGGAAACTGGTAAAATTACAAACATTATTGTTTACATATCATCATCGAATGAAAAACCCAGTTTTATACTTTATTGTTGAAGTGTGTTTGAAAATTACCAGCATTGCTGCACACATATTACCAGGTTCAAAAAATGCAAATTACCAGGGTTTTCTTTTAGGCATAAAGAAACTTTACTATTGAAGTGGGTTTCAAAATTACCAGCATTGGTGCACTCATATTACCAAGTCCAAAGTATGCAAATTACCAGGGTTGTTTAGGCAGAAAAAGAAAGATTCATTCACTGAATCTTCAGAAAACTACCATGATGGAAAACTGTTATTTATCATGCAATATTCCACTAATCTACCAGGACAAATTGCAGGTGCTCGGGCAATCAGCGCAAACAACAGCTTGCCGGCCAGTGGTGGAACAAATGCACATAGTGCTGGAACAAATGCAAGCACATGAGCTAGGAGCCTTGGAGAGCAGACAATAAGTGAACCAGCAACTCCAGAATCTGGTGGGATCGACGCTGATATGGAAGGCAGCAACATGGAGGCATATTCCACACCTAAGCCACCTTTATAAGGGACAAAATTTGACACCCTGGAGAGCGCACGTGACCACTACAACATCTACGCGCACAGGACTGTCTTTGCAATTAGGCAGCAATTCAAGAAAGAGAGGGTTTATGGAACTACAAGCAGAGTGCTCCTAGTTTGTACAAAATATGGCAAACGACGCAGGGACAGGGATGAGCTGCAAGATGTGGAGAACCCAGCCAGCATTTTCAAGAAGAGGAAAAAAAAGAAAGTTGTTAGGACTGAATGTGAAGCGCACATGTACCTATCCCATGATGATGCATGGTGGACTGTTGGCCGTTTCGAGGACAACCAGAATCACCCCCTGATCAAAAAGTCGTCCCTAACAAAATTCTTATCATCACATCGGTACATTCCGAAGGAGGAGCAGGACTTCTTGAGGGTTCTGCACGGATGCAACGTCGAGACTGCGAGGCAGATGCAGCTGATGTCATGGTTCTACGGAAGCGCTCAAGACGTACCCTACACGACACAAGATATTGCCAATCAATGAGCTAAGTTCCGCTTAGAGCACCGCCACGCGGACGTTGGGAGCATAATTTCATACTTCCAAGATATTAGGGCCAAAGATTCATATTTCTACTGGAGAATCAAACTTGATGATGAGGACAGGGTTGAGAACTTATTTTGGATAGATGGTGCATTACGCAGGGCATATGTAAAATACAATGACTGTTTGTCGTTCGACACGACATACATGACAAACTTGTACAAGATGCCGTGTGCACCATTCATTGGAATTAACAACCATGGTCAATCCATCTAGTTTGGGTGTAGCTTCGTTCGAAACAAACTAAAGGAGAACTTTGTGTGGCTGTTTAACACATTCCTCCATGCAATGGGTGGTGTTGCCCCAAAAAAACATCATCACAGACCAGGACTTTACAATGAGGAGTGCGATCAACGAGGTCTTCTTGAACATAGTACACAGAAATTGCCGCTGGCATATAATGAAGAAGGCACAAGAGAAACTTGGAAAGCTTATGGCTGATGATAAACCACTAAACAAAGCGTTCAAAGACTATGTCGACAACAGCTTGACTGGTACGTACCAACTCTGTTGACCCATTTTAATTACCATCCAGCAAACTTGAGAAGCCATATGAAATTGTGTGATGCACAAGTTACCATGTTTAGCGTACCATGTGTAGGTCTGCACAAGTTACCATGATCTTATTGGTTATATTACCAGGGGGCAGTTTCATTGGAACAACATCAAATTACAAAGGAAAAAATGTGTGGACATGTAATCACCATTGGGTACAAACACTAAATATGTCGACACCAACTATTGGTTTAGAAAAGTTACCAGACTAGGTGTAAGACAAACAAAGAAAAGAAAACTTTCACATATCAAAAATAACAAAAAAAAGATCTGGAAAATTGGTTCCATTAAGTTACCATCTAATAACTATGAAAAGTTACCAGCATACTTGTACTTTAACTACTACTTGATTGTGTATGATGTTGTAATTGTCTCATGTTTTGTGTATCACAGAGGAAGAGTTTGAAAACAAATGGTAGGCAATGATGGATAAATATGGGCAGACCGACAACGAACATTTTCACTGGTTGTGGGAAAATAGGAAATGTTGGGCCCCGGTGTACTACATGAAGCATTTTTTTCCATTCTTGCAGACAACTGCAAGGAGCGAGGGATTCAATGCTGTGCTCAAGAAGTACGCGAACCTTAACAACTCATTGATTGAATTCGCAACTCAATACACTGCAATCCAGGAGAAAGTAATGGTGGCTGTGGCAAAAGAGCAAGTGGACACAATTTACAAAGAGGCAGACATGTATTCATTGAACCCAATCGAGTTGCAGATGCGAGGGATATACACACAAAATCTGTTCTCCAAGTTTCAGGTAGAGATGAAGTTAAAGACTGCTTACGGATGCGACACTTTGCAAGATGGAACCTTCAGGATGTGGTCGCTCCGAGGCATACTACCAAAGTATGGGGATAGGGACTACCATGTGCAGGCGAACAAGGATGGAGGGGTATACTCATGCACTTGCTGCAAGTTTGATCGCGATGGGCTATTGTGCGCACACATACTGCGAGTAATGGAACAGATTGGAGTCTATGAAATACCGAGGAGGTATATCCTAGATAGGTGGACATGGGATCCAGAGGAGGATCTTGTTGAGCCTGATTACCAATAGCTAACATTTAAGAAGGGTATGACAGAGGAAGGAAAAAATATCATAAGATATACATCTATTCTGAATGATTTCAAGGAACAAGCAAAAAATGCTTGCACTACTGATGAAGGGATGTCATTGGCAAGGAAACACGTTAATGCTTTCAGAGACGACATGGATGCACTAAAAAAGAGGCAGATAAAGAAAGCAAGAAAGGAAAAAGATGAGGGAAAAGAAGCATAAATGTTTTCTTCACCACCAGGGACTAGTGCCACTGAAGGTGTCCCAGTAGCACATCAAGGAAGGATTCCTGTCACGCATGTTTCTGGCAATATTTTTCAGTTCCAGGGCTCACATACCGAGGGATCCCAATCATCAAACACAAGGGTGATACTAGACCCACCAAAGTCTACTACGAAAGGGCGTCCAAGAGAGAAAAGATTTCAGCACCCATTTGACATTGCAAAACCAAAAAAAAGATAGGAAATGTAGAGTGTGCGGGTCGATAGAACATGATAAATGCAAGTGTACCTCACCCATACCGCGCTGAGAAACTAGAAGTGCAAAAAAGTTAGATGGGCAATGAAGTGCAAGTTATCGATTTA